AGAGAAGGAGGAGGAAGGAGAGACGCAAACGGCGGCACAGCATACGACTAAGGAGGTGTGTTCGTGTACACCTGGTCTAGACTCTCCTCAACTAGATCCAAACTCTCCCCATGCTTGTGGCTTTGCTCTAACACTGAACTACTATTTAACACCCATTTACCACAGATGACAGACTCCTCTGACGCAAGTAGTGTTAACAGCCAGATCCTTCAACTCCAGGAAGAAAACAAACGGCTGAAGCAGCGAGTAGTATATGTAAGTCTGGGTCCTTTTCTTTTTTTTTTTTAAGTCTTTAACGCAAAAGTATCAGACATTTATTGTTTTGTTCTTTAAAGGTTCAAGGTTTGAACTGTCAGTGGCAGAAGTATGACACAAGCAGGGAGGACTACATCAGAGGTCTGTGTCAGAGGCTGAAGGAGAGCACAGGGCAGGGTCTGATGCCTGGAATGGGAACCGTCAGCACCGGGTTGCTTCATCAAGAAATTTCCAGACTTAATGGTTTACTGGAGGACAAGATGAGTGAGTGTGCCAGGCTGGGCCGAGAGGTGGAGCAGATCAGGTGGCAAGACAAAGAGCGAATCCAGACACTGGAGCAGCAGGTTGGTACTGCTTAATGGTCTGCATCATATTGGTTCCAAATAGGGCCCTGTGCAAACAGTACAGATAAAACAGGATCATGTAACGTTACAGTTTGACAGTGAGTCAGCATATACACAGAAACTGGAAAGGCTGAAGGCTTAGTCCAAAAGAAGCTTGACAACACAGAACTTTTCTACAAAAAATACCCATAGAATCAAACAGAAGTTTAGTGACAAGTGGCCAATAGGAATGTTTGATGTTCGTGGGCGATGCAGAGAGGAGGATCAGCCCACAGACAGCAGCCCACAGACAGCAGCCCACTAGTACAAATCCTATCATTTTAATAACACAAAACAAATTTAGATCCATCTGTAGAATAGACGATGCATGTCTACCACCCCACCCCCCCAAAAAAATGGTTTCTGGGGTGGGGGGCACACCTGCAAGGTAGCAGCGCAATATGCTGTCTGTTTCATCAGACATACCAAAAATTCTTCTCTGCACTTCCTTAAAAAGCTCGCTTGTGGTTTTTTCCTGCTTTGACCTGTTGAACTGACAAAACTTTAATTGCAGGGCTGCACATGAATCTGTGTCTATAATACATACTGTCATTATTCTTCAGGTCCTCATCTACACAGAGGATTTTAAGTCGGAGCGCAGAGACAGAGAGCGAGCACAGAGCCAGATCCAAGACCTGAAGGAGAAAATCTACGAGTTAAAACGGCAGCTACACAAACAGGTGAGACAGCCTTTCATGAGTTGGCTGAATGCCTCCAAGGAAGTTTCTTCTCCCTTTTATGTTGTGAACACTTTGTTTCTCTGTTACTCCGGCATTTCTCATAATTCCCCCTTGGTTTTCAGCAGGGGGCTTCCAGAGAGAGCAGAGACGTAGTTCCTGCGTGTGGTGTGCACATAGGACACCGGCTCGCCCCACGGCGGCACAAGGACAATACAGAGCATCTGTTGAGGACCACAGCTGGGGGACAGCAACAGACTGCAGCGCCGACAGGAGCAGCAGCAGCAGCAGCAGGAGCAGCAGCAGTAGCAGGAGCCAACCCTGCCTGGAGTGAATGTCCAGGCCTGTCTGAGTTACAGTGTCCACGCTGCCAGGCCAAGTTCAATGATACAGACGTTGCAGAGTACCTGAAACATTGGGAAGAATGTGCCAAACTATAGAAGAACTTTTCTTTTTTTCTTTTTTTTTTTTTCAAAAACAGACAGATCTTTTTGCTGACAGCAACTAAACACTGACGAGCAGCACTACACAGCCGAAAATAATCCTGCTGGGAATTTCCAGCTTTGGAAAACGTGAATACAATTTACACAAGTTTCAGGGAATCAAAACTATAAAGCCCACAGTTCCGCTATTAGAAAGAGTAATCAGGCTTCTAGTTTAACAAACTGTCAGATTTTAATTCCTGTAACAGTTACCTGGAATAATGATGCAGAGGAAAAGGATGTCAATGCAATACAACAAAATATTACAGAAGAGAACTGGGGACCAAGTGGAACTTTACTGGTATCTGACCATTTTTATTTCTGTGATTAAAGTCCGATTCATGCTGTTTCTTCTCAATAATCAGCCTTCATTTTTAATATTTATTTTTAAAGGTTCAAATAGCCATATTTCGCTGGGCTTCAGAGAAAAAGAAAAATCTGATTTTTAAGACAAAGTGAGAACTCTCAGTTAAAAGGAGAAATACTGAGTGTCAGAGTGACTTCTATGATATAGTCAAAATTCCCAGAGAAATTTTGAACTACTTAGAAAAAGCCAGGCTTTACTGTCACAATGGAAGGAGTGAGAATTATATACTGAGAGAATAAAAGTGTTGGAACGCTGACTCAGACATTATTCTAAAAATGTCAATACTTCAACGAAAGTGTTGTTGTTGTAGCCCTAATCCTCCTTGAGAAATATCAAATACCTCAATGTGTCAAATTACAAAGACATTGCACTTTTTTGACATTTAGCCAAAACCTAATTGTACATTGTTTGATTTTAACAATTTGAAATACATAAGCTTATTTTGGAACTTTCGAACATCTAGTCAATTATGTGGTGCTAAAATATTGTAGTATATATTTTTTTTGACTAAGCTTTACATATTTCTGTTCTATAAGTTATACGTTAAGACAAATTAATTAACTATTTATTATTTGTGTATATACTAAAAAATGTTGGTTTTTAATACATCCAATGTATTTTTTACAACAATACCAGAGAATATGTATGTTTGAGGAAAAATACATTTACCATATGTAATATTTTGAAAAAAGAAAAAAAAAGATCTATTTGCATCCCAGCTGACACTGTTTTTGATGAATGCTCTGCAGTCTTCAAAGCTGGCACATTATTTTTGTAATAAAATACATTTAACCTCTCTAATTTTCTAAATTCATTTAAATGTTTATTATTGCAGTCCCTGTGACAGTCTGCTGCCTGAAGCTTCAACCAGGATCACAGCCTAACCACAAAAAATGTTGGCACAACATAACCTGTGTGAGTTTGTGTGTGTGTGTCCATCTATGTCATTTGTATGTGTGCACAACGTGGAAAACCCCCTCCTGGTGTTGCCTGAATGGGCACGCTGTACTGTGACAGCCAGATTCCCAGCTGTTGTGTGGCTGTAGCAAACACTTAACAGGGAAACACCAGTTCAAGTAACACAATCAAAGAAATGTTATCTTTACCAACATGGGGCTTTTTTATTAGGCTGTATGAAATAGGGGGCATTTTGAAGGTAATTTAAGCAATTGTTCTAATTATTTTGATGCTAACTTGGAGCTAACCAACGTCTACTTATTTTCGTAGTTAACGGCTAACAGCATATACTTTTGAATACCTTTAAGCTATTTTCACTCAGTCATTGTTTGACTTTTTGTTTACCAGGTATTTATGGGCTGACGTTGAGTTATCATTTAGCATTAAGCCATTATTGCGTCGTTTTGTTGTTAAATTTGGTGATTTAAAACTAATTTATACGCTATCTTTTAAGTGCAAATCCCACACTGGCAAAATTCATCGACATGTAAGGCAGGTGTTTGAGCAGCCGTGATAACCACAATGGAACCACCACTACACTATGGGATGTAAAAACAATGTATAAGTTGTTTAAAAATGCGTTAGTGTAAGACGAGTCACAGTAACGGGTCATACAAAATGTCAACAGCAACAACACATCTGTCACTGCCAGTGACAATCACAAATTACCAGAGTCCCACCTTCTGGCTAACTTAAGCCCACGCCTTTTGACCGTCTCCTCCAGGCGCTACGTCCAGATGACACCCGGTCCCAGCGATATCTCATGCTAACAGTAGTAAAACAAGCTACAGAAAGTCCAATTATTTACCATAGAACCTCACCTGTGTAACATATTCCTCTTCGTTTTTATTCCGATCCCGATAAAACGTAGCAGCGGTGTTGATGCCAACACATGGTGATGATAAACTTGTCCGCCATTGTTTACAAACTTCTCTCCTTATTGGATGTCGCGGCGCAATGTCGTCTGAAAAGTTTCCAAACTTCATCCGCGCCGCACCAGAATGCTCCAAGAATAAAATAAAACAAATCTTTTACATGCATTACATAAAAATACAGACACTTCAAACGCTTTTTCACTGCCTTAATCTCATATTATCAAATTCCCGATGGAACCTGAACGCCCCTCGTTGGGGAAACGTTTTACAATATTGTACAAATGTTATTAAAGTTATTCCAACACTGTTTATATATATTTTAAATATATTTTGGACCGTGGGACGTCACTATGTGGAATACACATATACAAACACAAGTATATTGGCGATATAAAAAAAAGACAGCATTGGGCATGCGCCGACTGCGCTGTCACAAGTGAGGCAACCAGCGCTTTTTGCTGGTTGTGTAACTGAGAGTGTAGTGTAAATGTTACGGTGGATATAACGGTCAAAATACAATACAAGACATTTCAGAAAACACATCAACATTACAGAAAACGCAAAGTCGTTTCAGAAAACACAACAACATAACAGAAAGCACAACATTTCAGGAAACACATCAACATTACACAAGGCTAGCTATCTTTAAATATACAGGGTAAAAATGTATATTTGCTTTTTAGAAACCATTTGTTTAATTTTTTTACACGTTTAAATGTCTTGGAAAGAACCAGTTAACACTTTTAAGGTAACATGTCACGTGTTGTATGTTAAACGGAAACATGTTGCACTAGTTTCCATTTCAAACTTTTGAATGTACTTTTTTTAAGTGGTGTTTTGTCAGCCAAAATAACAAAAACCTTCCATTGTTTAGGGTTATTTTGAACCTCATCGTAGACACAGAAGGTTAACACATATTGTATACTAACACACACACAGCCACAGTAGTAATGAAAGGCCTGTAGACATGTTGCTGATTGAAACACTTCTGCATTCAGTGGTTGGGAGGTATCACTTTGACACGCAGTGTTGTTTGATGAATCAGTTGTCATGGGTTTAGTGTAGTGAGTACAGGAAGCTGGACATCCCCTGCTTAGAAAGGAAGTAGACAGTTAAAGTGCAAAGAAAAAGATGCATTCAAATAGCTGTGGTGGTTTTTTGTGAGTGCTCTACAATGGTCTGTGGTCAGATAAACATTATTAAACATCTGACTTTATCAAAGTGAAATAAGTAATATTTCAAGAACAGATGATTTTTGGTGTAAAAATTATTTTGTTTATTCAAAAATTCAAAAGTTCTTTTGCTATTTAGCTTAGCATTAGCAATTGTTATTAAAATAAACCTCTCACAGCACTTTGATTCTGCTGAATCCTTATTACATATTATTATATAATCCACTACATATGTATTACCAATAACTCTAAATAAGGAATGCTTTGTCAAATAGGTAAAATGATGTCATACAGGAATGCTTTGTCAAATAGGTAAAATGGTAAGATAGGTAAGATACAGTCTGCTGATTTGTCACTTCTATTTACCCTTGACCCAATGATTTCCAATCATTCTCTTTTTTCGTAAACACCAAAGGGTTTATACTATACGGTGATGTCAATGTGTTTGAGAGATTTTTTTTTTTTACCATATCATTCTGAAATTTTCATATCCTCCCATGCTGTCTGGCACAGAGGTAGAAATGAGGAACTGCTATTCCCTCGCTAATGGCATACCCCTAACGTCCATATAGGGTAATTATTCACCTATAAAACTATCCACCGTGTTTCCATTCTCAGTAAAAAATACCCCACAGAAGACTACTGATTCTTTTAAATGGTCATGAGTAACGTGTTTACCAAATTTCTTCTGAATACTTATTGACCTCATTCTTTACAAGTTAATGTTAAGTAAATTGGATTATGTCCAATGCTGCCTCCAATATTTTGCAATTATGTGTCCTTCTCAGGCAGTTTAACTATTCTCACTGGACACTTAAGTCCACTGTGAACTGACCATATTTTTTTCTCTCGTGGTCCTCTTTTGGGGCTTCACAATGGGACTACAGGTTGAATCAGGACAGCTACATAGTCTAAACTATAGGTCTTCAAAATAGAAGAATAAATGTGAGAAATAATAATGTATGTTTACATGTGTCACTAGACACACCTGTTTGGTTATCCAGCTTATGCTGCTCAACTTTATATTTGCATCTTTTATTCTTGAGGATTTCTAGTACTAGTGTCTGAAGAGCATTTAATGGAGGAGGTGTAAAAAGTGCTTTCAAAGGCTGTTACGCCCAGACAGTAAGGGAACATTCACTTTTAGAATATTTAAATTCACCTGATGCACAAGTTGTACTCTAACCCCTGAGCCAGTATAGGAGTGGGTCGACAATGGGCCTTTAAAGGGCAAAGTCAGCATGTCACTTTCAAGTGAACCACATGCACCGGGCTCACACAGGCTGTGAGCTGTCTGCTAGGGATTCTCCCCCAACACACACCTACTTACTAAAGGGTCTATAAATGACTGAACTTCCACAAACACTCTACCCACCAATCTGAGAGTGGAAAAAATAAATAGGCCAAAAGTTCCAACCTGAGTGTCTGGGAACTTTTGTTCTTTCTTTTAAAATAAGAATCGGTGATTGAATTTGCACAAAGGTCAGTTGTTAGTGTTCATAGAGTTCCTGTTAGAAACCGGTTTCAGAGCAGCACTGATGTCGAAGCAGTCCTACACCTCTTCACTGACACTTAGCCAAATACAGAATGGATAAATACAGCCTTAAATCTTCTGTGTATCCCACAAGAATGGGAATTTCCCACCGTCACGAGGAAATTCCCAAAAAAAGCCAATAAGCTTAAATGAAGAAGCCCGTGAGAGGGAAAACTGAGCGCTGTCGCCTTAAGTGGATCACTATACGTCGGTTAAGGTAGTTGGTGCTGAGATCGTTTGTTTTTGTTGAATTATTTTCATGGTAAGGAAGTCAAGACTGCAGCAATCAAAAACAACACAGGAAAACTGTAGCCAGGAAGACAGGCGGGAGATTCCACGTTGGGAAATGTGTGTGATCTTTAAGTGCTTCAGGCAGCTGACAATGAAAAGATCAGCAGTTTGATTAGTAGAGTCAGAGGCAGCTCTGATCTCTCCTAATAATCCTGTTGGTCCCTCTCTCTCTCTCTCTCCCTCCCCTGTCATTGTCTGGCTCCTTCTAGTCTTTATGTCCTCTTGTGCATTTGCCCCAGTGATTTCTGACTGCTCCTAATTTGTGTAGCCTTGTGGGGACATTTCCCTGAACTACGTACACAGAGGCTGAGAGAGAGCAGCCACACAATCATTCATACCTGAAATAAACTATGAGTCACATCGGCTCTTGTGACTTTTTGAAACCTTTTGTCTGACATTCAGTGCATTGTACCTGAAGTTTACCCATTCATTAAGTTTGTCAATATTGGCAAGTTTTGTCTTCAGCGTGAAACCCCCTGCACAGGTTTTTTGTTCCAACCAATTAATTCATCAACTCTTACAGCTCCATCCTTTTACTGCAGTGATTTCATTTTTTCATGATGTAAAAAAATTTAATTTACCTAAAATCCAAAGAAGAATTTAACATTTTAAACGAGAACTAGTAAGTTAAAAGTCCAATTTCATTAATCTTCCTCAGAATATTGACACTTTTGCTTTCCTCTTACATACAGCTGATTACAATCTTTACTTAAGAAGTGAGCAACAAATGTCATTATGATCTGTGAAACAAGGTCAGAAAAAAAAAATAGTCCAGAACAGACCGCCGCTGCTGCTATGCAGCATAAAAGATATGTATGAAGTAATTTACATGCGAAAATGTCATAACATGACCTCATTTTAGACAAACCTCACCAGACAGGGAATGCACTGCATTTCATAACTGCCTCAATTCAGTTTTTTCCCTTAAAAATATGCATTTGTGAAATGTTCTACAGTGGTCGGTTAATCTCAGCCACAGAATCTACATGCTGACTTTTGGACTGGCGGGGAGGGGGGACACACTTATGCTTGTGCTGCCACAAAAATCAAAGGGTAGAATAATGGCTACGGCGAAAGCAGCGAAACATCAAATGGAAACCCATGTTTATGTTTGATTAAAATATCTGAAATTATGAAGTCTGTGCAAGAGCCCCTGTTACTGTGAACTTAGTCACACAATGAACGTTGTATGACCAACAAACCACAATTCCTCCAAAATTGTGAATAATAGTGAGATTATATTTAACCTTTTATCTTGTGCGTACTTACTTAGACGAGATAAAACCAACAACTAATCTTCAAATGCCACCTTGTTCAGTTTATCCTTACATTTCAAGGTTGTTTGGT